ATAAACACAAAATGTAGGCCAGCTTAGTGCATGGGGCTGGTGCCTGCTCATGACAAACACAGCTCTGCCAAGGATGGGGGGGGATTTTGGGCACCTCAATGTCAACATTGAGCTCCATGTTGATTTAAAATAGGTGACATGTTACTTCAGTGTAGTGCCATGCACATGTATTCGCTCAGTCCCTCTGTGCACTGCTCTTTCTCTCTCACACACACAAAGACATGACAACCATGACTATGGACCGTCTGTGAACAGCTCCTCCTCTCTGTTTGTTTGTATTTTTAACAACGCCGTCAGCTGTTGAGATCCAACTCTAGCTATCTCAAGCTAGCAAAGCTAATGTTATTTACAGGCTTCAACTAGAGGGTCAAGTCAGGGAGAGAGAGATGTAGGTGGAGGGCAGCAGCCAACATGCTGCTGCTGTGAGAGAGCTATTGAAGAAGGGACAGGTCAGATGAACAGCACTACAGCATCATTATATTTAATTTAAAAGACTGGAAGTGTGCCCCCCCTCGGAACTAGCACCACAATTAAAGGGTCATTAGTGGGAAACACTGACAATCCAGTAAAGTGAAACCAAGATAACTGATAAAAAAGAGATGGGGCTTATTTATAGTTTTTTTTTTCTAGATACATGTATGTAAGCAGCCTTTAAAAGTCACTGCTTATTTTGTCATATGTTTTGTTGCAGAGAATGACCTCCAGCTGAGTGAATCAGGCAGTGAAAGTGATGACTGAACAATAATCAACGATTCAGTGGCAAGTCAAGGAACCAGGTTGAGACCCGTCAGTGTCTTGGCTCCTTTAATGTGGAACTGTCCTAAATATAATTTGCTTCTCTGCCAACAAACCTCAGATGTTGTCACGTGTTGCTTTATGATCTTTGTCTGTGAGATAGATATAGAGATGCCTTAGTTCAGCCTTGTGGTATGGTTGGTATAATGGAATCAGTACATGGTGACAAACTGTTCATAATATTTTCATCTCACCGGCTGCATGTGTGGTTAAACTGACCAAGAATGATAGTGGTGTTCATGAGGTGTATGTGGGTGTTTCTGCCTGCCCACCAGCCACTTTAAATTGCCACTGGAGTTTCTGTATGTCAGCTTAGCAATATTAGACTTTTGTTAGCTGCTAGCTAATAGCTTCAGATTGTCTTTGTCTGAGCTGCATTAGTTTGTCTTAACAGAAATGAACATTGTTTAGGATGAGCCACTTATCTGCTTTTTGTTTTTATAGACCCATTGTAAAGTTTGCTGGACAGCCTTATTTACACATCCAGGAGTCTAGGATCAGCAGTAGAATTAATTGGTCGTCTCTTGCAGCCTGAACAATGCACATCCAAGGTGTACTCTCCTTTCAGCTCTGCTTGGGTCTTCACCAGCTCCTGAGAAACATCTGCTTTTGTAGCTCCACTGTGTTCACCAGATAGTTGCTGTCTGCTTTTTGACATTGGGCAGGTAGTGGACTGATCAAGGCTGTTTGGCAGAAAGCAGCAGTCACTGACTGGAACAGGGCTGATGCTTCATAGAGCTGAAGGAGCAAGGCAGCCCTTTTTCATTTCACCTTGCTACTTTTTAGTCATTGTTCATATCATAATACTGGTTAATCCAGCTTCCAGAATTTCATTGTCTATAAAACCTTGTTTATTGTCTTGGTGTACGAGCGGCTCTGATTTCTGCTGAGGTAGTTCATTATTGCTCAGTTGACTCAGCTGGGTCACGCTTTGTAGCTTTAAACCTGCAATACTTGAATCTAAAGAATATTTCAACATGTACTCAACCAATGATGGATTGCTTAATATTTTATATATATTTTAATAGTGAAGTAATTGAAAGTGCAACTTTTCATGAACCACATTGCAAAACAAGCCCTGCACCTCGGTGAGTCTTATGCAACTTCACGTGCCTGTTATTATTTGCTTTGGCCAGTTGAACGTGATCCTTCTTGTTTGTTACAAGCGCCATATTACTGCTGTGCTCACTCATGATACAGGGAGCGAGCGTCTGTTGTCCTGACTGTTACAGTCAAAGACTGAAATGATGTCTTTAATGTGTTTAGCCTTAAGGAGAAGGGTGGCCTCTGAGCAGCAGTAGTTTAAACTATTTGGCTCATTTCTTTGTGGAAAAATAAAGATGGTAATTGATTCTTGTGCTTGTGTGTCAGTTATTGCAGTTGTTATCCTTGTTACTTTAAATGTTTTTTGTTTCTGTGTGAAAAAACCAAGAGGGGATTGTTGAGCAGGTGGTTAAGGTCTGGAAGCACTTTACATACTTTCATTGTTTGACACAGAGACTTTATTCTTTGTCCTGTTGAAGAGCAGTGCACGCATTTTAGTTAATGTACACAGTAGCGAATTCTGTCACTAACACCTTTATGTTGTAATACAGTCTGTACAGCCACTGCATCACATTTGTGAAGCTAAGAATGTTTCATTTTTATCACGGCCATATGAGGAAGGTGAGGACCTCGACAGACTGCAGTAGTTTGTGGTGCTTTACTTTATAAAACAATACTTCCTTTAACTGATTGAGCTGGGTCAAATTCACTGGAAACCAAAGTTATGTCACGTCTCATGACAAAGGTAGAAATGTAGCGCAAGTTACACAGGTGGGTAACACACACACACACACACACACACACACACACACACACACACACACACAGTCATCTGCCCTCTAAAATTCCTCCCAAACTCACAACACAGGGAGTCACTGGAAACGTGACTACTGACGTAGACCCAGGGGTGTGACTTCCTTCCTTAGCCTCTATTTATCACCCATATTGTGCAGATAACATTAGAAATAAGAGAATCAAATTTACCAAACCATAATTAAAATACACCAAAGTCTAATCTCCCCTCTCCTGAGGGAAGATTAGTGCAATTGCCCCGTGGTGGCGGCACGGCAACAAGATACTGGAACGCACCATTTATAAATGTATGAATTAATATACGATAACCTTTTACTGATCCTAGCAATGAAATGTTTTATTAAACAAACTGGAGACGAAAGTAGGAACAAAATGTTACACATACACAGCATTTTGTATGAGATGCCTTTTAAATACGGTTTAATCTTTGGGATGATGATAGAATGATACAATATGGACTCATATTTTAATAAACACCACGTTATAGGCCTACTGTCTAACAATATCAATAGAATAGAATAACAAGATTTATAGGAAATAAGATGTATTATTTCACAGGAAGTTAGATGCAGCCCTGTGACATCCAGCCAGTGTTTGAGTTTAGGGCTGATCCATATAAAATACACACACACACACACATACACACACACACCGCTCATAATAACACCTTGTAACTCGACCTGTACATTTTATGTGCATGTGCACTTCAAACACAAACACATGTAGAAACCTAAATACGATGCACATTTACTGAACTTTATTATATTATTCATGTAAACACGTTATTGTCTTGAGTTTTATAGTTTAGTTATTGCACCAACTTTAACAGTAATAAAACAGTGATAACACTGGGATTTCATTCAGGTCTGTCTTTGCTGATTCTGTCTTAAAATGAGTTATTTCATGGTTTTGCTTTGGTTTATTATGCATTGAAAACTTAAATGATGCTATGTATTTTTCAAAGATTTCTCAGTGGAGTTCCTCTGCAATAGTAAAATGACTACATTGGCAAAGTCCCTCCACATACTGATAAAATAAAAGGCAACATCCCACCTGTGTGCACTCTGAAAACATGGGTCAGGTAAGCTTGTAGGTTTAGTGTGAGCCAAGACAAGTTGTCTTTCTGTGACTCGAGGAAACCGTGCATGTGAAACCCTGTGTAGTCTGTTGTTCTTTCTGTTACCAAAGAGGCTGAAAGTGTGCCAACACCTGGAGGGAACATTCTGCACTTGGAACCAAAACTGTCATCAGTCATTTGATACCTTCTACTTTAATCTTTTCTTTTTTTAAATCATGAAAATATTTCTCTGTTGTTATGTCTTTGTTCTTGCCAAGTTCCTACAGGAGAACGTCATACATCATCCACGGTATTTGAAACGATTAAGTCCTGTGAACTCTGAAGTACCTACCTACATACCTTTCTCTATTCAAATGAACAATCAGTACAAAAACAGACCTGCACTGTACAACCAGAGGAAATAGCAGCTTTTATTGTGAGGTGCTTGTTTACTGAGACATCAGGGGACGAAGGACTAAGCAGGGAAGTATTGCAGTTTTTAATCATTTTAGTTTAAAGAGTCCATTAGGCCATATTACAATGCAGATGGTTTAGTTTCACGTGCACACGTATAAGGTATTACACTCAGCTCCCTACAATGAAAGTGAATGGAATTTCATTTGTGATACCAAGTTTTGCTCAAGTTGTCTTTGCCCAAATGTCCTGGCTGCTCTCGATGATGGATCCACACTGTAGAACCTTCTAATAGAAAAACAGTCACCCAGTTATTGTAAAGACGTGTTTGAAAATGTCAAAACTGAATCCTAAACCTTGGAAACAGGTCTAGCTCTGACAATAAACCAACAAACACAAACAACTAAATAACTCAATACAGCATCTGTTACTTTTGATGGAACTGAATGGATGGTAACAGATTAGTTATCACCATGTAGACTGCTGAGGAATTTCTGGGAGACTGAATTAAGAATGCTTTTATTTGATTTATTGGTTTAGGCCCAACTTATATGATCTAAACTGTGGTGGATAAACCTTCAGCACCATTATTTCTGTAAATGAAACCAGAGAAGGGGCTAAGTGAGAAAACATTTGATTTTGTAGTGTTTGCAGTTTTTATTTAACTCTTTGGGATGTCTAAAGTTAAATGCACTAATGAACTCTATTTATTATTTGGCTAATTTCCCACTGCACACATTACAAACCGTGGTGTGTTACAATTAAAACCTTTAAAATTCGCCCAATTAACGTCTAAATCCAATAGGCCAACTTATAAACTCATAAAGGTTTAGTATTTTATTTGGGGAGTCAGATTTATTTGTGCTGTATTTGTTCCACCAGCTCTGTTTGAGTTAGTGAGATTATGTCAGGACCTAAGTCCACGGTTGGTTCATGTGATGGGTGTAACTAAAGGAAGCATTATTACCAGGCTACGCACCAAGGAAACGCAAACTGGGACTGTCTCACTTGTTTGGACCTCAGACAGCAGACACACGGGTCGACACGCTTAAGATGTTGAGGACAACTCTGTTAAACATCAGATTCCACGTGAACCGTCAGCAACATACGGGAATTCAGAGAGTGACGGGACTGACTCCGGCGAATCATGGAGCCATCCAGCGCCGCGACGCATCCACCACCACAAGCACCACCGTGATGGGAGACAACAGCAAACTGAAACCTATGGACGATTTAGGAGGACCGAGTTTCATGACAACCTTATACTGGCTTTTTGTCAAGGGGTATTTCCAAACCACGCAACAAATGCAAGTAAGTCTGATATGTATAATGTACCTGCAGCATTGTTCATCTCTGTTACCTTATGATCCACAGGCCTCAGTTTCATATCAAATGTATTCCTGCAAGATTTCTGGAAAAACAAACCGCTGGTCCATCTTTTATAAATGTCGTTTTTCAATACTATTAGTGCCACAAACCTTCAAAATGTCAAAATGTAATTAGATTTGTACTGGGATGGAGGCACATATCTCAGAACCTGGGAAAATAAAACCAAACCCGTTCAGCAGCTGGATTTTCAGTGTAGGAGGTTTGTGCATTTGGAGATCATTTCTGGTGTTTCTACATCTTCTTATTCTATTCCAGTCATCTGTTCATATTGCTTATAGGCACAGTGTAGCAGCAGGTACAAAGCAAAGACTGTGACTCTACCACAGAGTCTGTCCCTACCCGTAACTTTGAAATAACACACACAACAACAAATGCATCAAAACTATACATTCCTTTTACAAAGCAGAATGTGCAGCATTACCCAAAGTGTTGTGTGTAATACAAAGGAAAAAAGGAATCTAAACTCCTGCTTACACTACACAAAGCACCCCCACTGTCCTGCCACTTGGTCTCTCCCAGAACCTTTGAACTAATATCTGAACACCTGTGTGTCCCCTTTAAGACTCAGAGCTCATGAGCTTTAGCCTCCCTTTACAAATCAAAGAAGGTTATTAAGTGTGTCTCACTAGGTTTAACCACATGGGTTTGTTTGGGAAACAGTGTAGGAGACTGGACACTGACATTATGTTAAATACTCTGTGGTACAGCCAGGTTGCTTTTTTAATTCTGCCCGGTTCTTTTGTCTGAAGGCCCCAAGAAGTAACACTCAGGAAACAGGAATCAGCTTTACGTAGATTTATTTCGATAATCAAAAATCATTCACATTTATCTTCTCGGGCTGGGACTGCCCTGTACATGGGTGGTACGTTGCACGTCAATATTCTAGAATGTTCATATAGGCAGTATGTGTGTGTGTGTGTTGTTATCTTCTATTTTCAGGCGTTTCTCTCTAACTGAAAATGGACATGCAGTTAGCTGTGTCACTTACTTCCCTGATTCTGTTGTAAAAAACCCTTTACTCATGCTTCAGACATGAGTGGACACTTATCTATGCAATCTACTCTTGCACAATTATCCAAGAAAATAAGAAACACTACAAGTTGACCTGCAGCTGAAAGTTATAACTATAATGCATGTATAAGAGCCAGGTTAATACTGATACATGGTGCTGCTAATGAAACACAGACAGTCACACTAAACTTTATCATTATAAAGCAAAATAATACTAACAGTAAATAAAACAACTGAAATCCAGTCCTAACAGCTTCACCACCCTGAAGATGAGTCATTTGAACAGTGAACATGCCAATGAGAGCCATTCATCAACATTTCACTCATCATGGCAGTTATTGTGCTGCGTGTTGTCTAAAGGATGAGTAAACTAGCCAAGTGTGTTTCTTCCACAGCCCTTCAGTCAGTGCCAGTTGTATCTCCACAACACAAATACACAAAAAGCAAAAACTCAATTAAATCCTTTCCTTTGAAGCAGTTTTGTTTTAACCATTTATGCACTGTGACACTGTACAAATAATGATGAGGACTTTTACTGCACATATACCAGAATGGACATGCTTTTTATCATTTGCATGACCTGCTCCTTTAAGCTTGTTGTCATATGTAAACTGATGCTATACATTTCAGTTTCACAGAGATGTTGAACTGTTTATTATTATTTAATTCCATTACTGTGTTGAAGAATGTTTAACTTTTTAAAATCATTCATGTCTTATTATTTGCTTAAAGATTGAGCACAGCAAAATCTACGGCCCTCTGTGGAAGTCAAAGTACGGCCCTCTGGTTGTGGTGAACGTGGCCAGCGCTGAGCTGATAGAGCAGGTTTTGAGACAGGAGGGGAGACACCCAGTCCGGACAGACATGCCCCACTGGAGGAGCTACAGAGAGCTCAGGAACCAGGCCCACGGACCACTGACAGAGTGAGTCAAACCACTGATTCTTCAGCTTTCAGAGAGGGAGGGCCTGTAGCTCATTTTGTTTTTGACTTTGAGTCACATCATAACAAATTCTAACACACGTAAAGGGAACTTTTCTCCTTCTTTAAACAACTCAGCACTTTTTGGCAATACAGAAAAGCTCAGTGTAAAACTTCGCTTCTCAGATCATTACACTGGACATCAGTCTCTCAGAGAATCAACTTCAAAATACCGTTGCCTGTCCATAAATCACTGAATGATACATCAGATCTCCTGATCCGGTACAAACCTGTAGATCTTACTGGTTGTTCTGAGAGTTAAAATGCAACATGTGGAAGCTGCCTTTAATTTCTTAGATGCCCAGATGTGAACCAAACTGCCAGATTTGCTTAGACTTGAAAAAAGGCGGACTACCTTCAAATCAAAACTGAAGTCCTACATGTTTTCTATTGCTTTTAATTAAATACATTTTTGGCAGCACGGTGGCGCAGTGGTTAGCGCCGTTGCCTCACAGCAAGAAGGTTCGGGGTTCGAGCCCCACCTGGGACCTTTCTGTGTGGAGTCTCCATGTTCTCCCTGTGTCAGCGTGGTTTCTCTCCAGCTTCCTCCCACAGTCCAAAGACATGCAGCTTAGGTTGATTGGTGTCTCTAAATTGCTCGTAGGAGTGAGTGTGTGTGGTTGTTCGTCTATGTGTTAGCCCTGCAATGGATTGGCGACCTGTCCAGGGTGTACCCCGCCTTCGCCCAATTGCCGG